CAAAAAATGTATGTTTTGCATTTAAACATTTTTCTGTACTGTCTACATAACAGTAACTGGAACAATCAAATAATCTTTATAATGTCATGAATGGTTTTGCAAACATAAGGAAGCAGAATTATAATATAATTTTAGAATTTCGAAATTTTTCTTCAAAAATAAATGTTGAGTTTTAATTGATTTTCCTACTGGCCGTTTTCACATTTTTTCTACTTATTTGGCTATATATCAAGAAGAGTGGCAAACTCAGAGGCCGACCGGTAAAAGTTCTAGCTATGCCACTGGGTACAAAACAGTTTGAGGGAACAAACTTAAAAGTAATTTTTTAAAAAATAAATAAACCGTAATTTTATTATTTTAAACACTTAATCGAAATGATCTATCTGTGTTTTCAGAGAGATATACTGCTAATGTTGCAGTCTTTGCCAACAAACTAAGTTCAGCTGTTAATGAGACAGACAGACTTCGTGTGCTTGTCGTAATCTAATCCTATCTAATTATTGTCTTGTCCATATTGAATGGAACAATGGTTGACAGAACCTACTAAGAGAGGCTGGACTTCTATTTTCCAAGCCCAATTTTGAGGGAGAGCGCCCCGGGAGAGAATCCTATGCTCTCCCACCCGTCTCCCCTTCCACCAATCCACACGAAAGGACTGAGGACTTTTGGCTAGCCCAGTGGTCTGCAAACTAATTAGTCAACAAAGCCAATTACCAACCGTTCAATGACTGAAATCTCTTTCGAGAGCCACATTTTTTAAACTTATATTATGAAGGTAGGTATATTATTATTCGCTTAATTAAGATACTCTTACGCTGACTTTTAATAAGAACGTCCTCAGTCTGATCAACGTACGTTTGCTGAGGTCGACCCCCTTCCAGTTCTCCCCTCCACACTTGTCTTGCGTACTCGTTTCGTGTATTTTCTTTCGCTCATGCTCTCTATGTATCCAAACCATCTTAGCATACCTTTCTGAGTTCTCACCGCTACATCTTTTTTCACTCCGCAACAATCTCTAAAATTAACTTAATTCTTCTATTCTAAAAATATCTGGGTTTTTAGTTTTTAGACATTTCCAATTTGAAGTTCTTTCATATTATATGCAACCCAGACATCGTCTATGGATTTTATGTTGCCTAAATTCAGTTGCTAGGGAAATTTTTGTTTCAGACACTGGAAAATCTTTAAATCTGAAAATTCTAGAAGCTAAAGATCCCGAATATTTTGAAACAAAATTTCATTTGTTCTCATTCAATTTAAAATTGCTATTGAATGGAATATTAATTCAAAGCATTTCATTAGTTAAAATTTGGCATATGACAACTACTACCACAGCACAATTTGATGTACATCCTTTGTCAGAAATGTTCCAGGACAGAGGTCGTAAAAAATAGAAAATTTCATTTGCCAAGTAATGACCCTAGCTACTATCACAGTAGTCCCCTTGGCTATCTATAAACAAATGCCAACGTTTCTTGGAGGTATTGGAAGCAAGCAGAAAAGTCTTCAACTGAGATATCTCATTTGTCACAGTCCGTTGGATATCCGCAATAATCTTGACGATGCTTTCCTTTCAGACACCGTTTCACTCACGGAAACAAGAAAAAAATCACAATTATCTTTGACACAAATGTGGGATTACGTCTGGCTCTATCCAATAGTAAAGTGCAGAAATCCTTCGTCTTTCTTCTTTCTGTTCATCTGTTAGCACGTGAGGGACGATTCTTGCATTAAGTTTCCATTTCCCTAAATGTTCGCGTAAAATCTTATGACACACATCACGATTCAAATATCATACGTACAGTTACACGACGGTTCTTCTAGCAATAACTGCCTTACACGCTCTACGTTTGTATCGGTATGCTCTATAGATGGGCGACCAGCTCTGTGATTATCTTTCACTGAATCTCTGCCTTCACGAAACCTTCCGTACCACTCGAAAACACGACTTCATGAAAGTGCCTCGCCTGTATATGCTTGCTTTCCTGTTCCACCTTTCACAAGCCTCCATGTTCACAAGGGATTTTCCTGAGCTTAACGCAGAACTTAATGTTCACTCTTTGCTCGCAGTCAGCATCCATTGTGTCATCTTAACGAATACTACAACAATCCGAACAATGTGTTGGACGACATTTAATTATCATTTTAAATTTAGTAGTTCTCAACATTTTTTGCCCCATGCACCTGTTTTACCTTTGCTGGACGATCTTTTCAAAAGTGGAAAAACACCTTACAGTTTATTTAAATTTTGAGTTTCTAAAGTGTTTTACTGATTAAACAAGAAAAGCGTAAAAGTGTTGATAAATACCAAAACTTGAATAAAAGTAGTTTTTTTATATCAAAACTAAATGCTTAATAGGTAAATAAAAAGCTGATCGTACTTCCCGCTGAAACTATAAAGTTTTTTCTACGGGGGGGGGGGGAATTCTACACTAGTTGAGTGCAATATTTCGATGATTAATTAATATTAGATAATTTTTTTCGTCAAAATACTTTCTCTCGGAAGTTAATCTTTTCTACACATGTTTATATATTAGAACATTTTCCGAAGGAGATCCATTAAAACTCTTTATCTAATTTAATTTTACTGTCTATTTTCAAGCATAAATCACATTTGAAATAAAAAGCCAGAAAATTTTTTAAGAACTGGTCTTTTTGCAGATCTCTCGAGTTGCTTAAAACGTATATCAAGAAAAAACGAGTAGTACTTGATAGAATATATTTCTGAATCCATAAATACTTCTTCATGACTCTATGGAGAGGCAACAACAAAATTCATGTCAGCTATATTTACAAAATACATTTTCAGAGACGTATCCTGAGGCGGAACGCTAGATTTGGAATGCTGGATGTTTCTGCACAATTTAGGACGTCTCGTCACTTAAGATTGGCCTTAAGAAAATTACTTTATAGAATTTTACTTAAAAAGAAAATCTATTTTAAACTTCTTCAGAATCCTTTAGATTTATGGCCCATATTTTATAAACTAGGTCAGAGATCTTCTATAAAATTTTATAAATTTTAGATATATATATGTTATGTATAGCAACTCTACACCTTATATAAGTTAAGAACGCCACAGAAATATGTGTATATGTTCTGCAGATCGTTTTGCAGAGATTCTGTGAAAATCTGTACAATTTCCAAAGGTCCCGTATGTAGAATCTACTGCACAGAATCAACTAACAGAATTCAATTAAAAATATCAGATTCAGTTTATGGAATTAGGGCAAGATTGTAAAGATTTTTAAACGCGTGTCCTTGCTTTAATTTTTTAAAAAGATCGTAAAGGCTTTATAACTTTTTTTATAAAATATAATTAAAGTATTTAAAAGCATTGTAGCATTAACATTTTTTTTCTCAGGTTTAAGAAGAATGAATTAAATTTTCGTATTTTAATAGGATTTTTTAACCTAAATTTGAAATTATTTTGACGTAGATAGAAAATGGGGGTTCTGCTGCACGCGGTGTGCGGTGTGGGCGTGGCCAATGACGTCACACAGAGGGCGGGACCAAAGGCAACGTCATCACACTAGGAGGCGTGGTCACGAGTGGAGTTGAGGTGTTGGTAGATTGCTGATTGAGTTGTAGACCTCCTGCTTTTCATTTAAAGTTAGTTTTTTTTTTAATTGGCAACGGGGTCATGGCGTCCTCTAGGGACGAAAAAAGAAAATAATTTATTTAGAAGTTTCTTTTATTAAAAAAATGTTCTATGATTCAAAATATAGGATCGAACCCTGAAACAAAATATCTGCTTTTCTGCAAAGAAATAACTGTTAAAAATATTGGAAAGAATAACATAATACTCATTAAAATTTCACACACACACACACACACACATGGGCTTTTATCGAAAGCCTCAGCTTTCTGACACCTGAGGGTCTCTCTTCACAGTTTCACAGTCATGGGGTTTTTTTGAATTCCCAGGTGCCAGCCCCTTCCCACAACTCCACTGTGAAGTCATTGACCAATGATGACATTCAAAAAAAATATTAATTTACTTTTTCTTTATCAGCCTCTATTTTATAATGACCGTACGCTAGTGTATGGATGCCATCCTCCAAAATATACCTTTTATCGTCGAATGGGGAGAGACTTAATTTATTCTGGCGAAGAGTGAAAAGATGATGTTCTTCACTTGCAATTCTATATTGAATCTCACGTCTAGACTGCAGGTTTTGAAGGCAGTGCTTGTAATTCTCATGCAGGATTTTACTTCGCACGACGTGACGTGAAACGCCCTTTGCCGTCTTCTTCTCCCCCGTCTCCGATAAAAAGGAATACATTTTTGCTCTCAGACCCACAAATTCATAAACCAATTTAGATGAAAATTCATCTTTCATACATCCAATTTTTTTCATGTTTTTCTGACTGTAAAGAGGATGATTAGGGGGATAGTCTGATGTATCGTAAATGTCGCTGCGATGTTTCATATCCTCATATACATCCTTCGTACGAATTTCATACGTGAGAGAATCTGTGTCAGTGAATAACAATGACGCATTTTCTCCGTACTCCTTCTTTATAATATTGTAATGGAAGTTGTACATCAGAATTTTACTTAATTCCAAAATCACAAAACAAAACCTACATAGATTGGTCGATTCAAAGTGAGGGTGTTTTTCAATCTCTCCACTGCAACAAGATTCTCACTGAAAATTTGGAATCGTTTAAAAGTGGGACATGCTACCAATTTTTCTGCTGCCTTTTTCCGTTCATTCACAAGTTGCACGTTAACATGGTTTCTTATATTTTCCATAGTTTTACCATAGATGGAATTATTCAGTAGTTTAAAGAAATCTTTCTCAAAAGCAGATTTTGAGTTCTTGCGTTGTTCTGTATTAAAATCAATATATGGTTTTAGCCAGGCCTTCTGCTTAAATTTCAAAATCCTATGTACGGCAGTCAATCTCAAACCTTCCTTTAAATAAAATTGTAAGTTCTTATAATACACAATATAATTTTGTTTATGCTTCAAATTGGGGATTAATTTAATTTGGCTATTGAAATTTTGATAGGGGAGGATGTTCTGAGAGAAAAGGAGAAAGATCTTCTAAATTAATTTTTAACTTTTCAGGTGCGAGAGGATAATCATTATGAGCGTCATGTAGTTCAGGAGGATACTCCAAATCAACTTCTAAAATATAACCTTCTGTTGAATTTTCACTAATGGAAAGAATCCATTCAGGGGTTACAGCTTCCGCAGAAATCCATTCAAATTCGCCATAGGGTAATGCTTGCGACATCGCCCATCCATACAGGTTATTTGCATCTAGATACATGATATAGCTCTCTGGGTTTGTTGAATCGTAATTTGGCATATAATGATTATTTGCCTGCGCCCACCGCTTTGTAATCACTGAAATTCCCCCTCGTATCCCCTGTTCAATGAAGAGATGCATATCTACATCGGTTAAAAGTTCTAGAGGCTGCTCAATCATTTTTAAACATGCTTGCCAGGACAGACCGGGTGATGTCATTACATGAGCACAATCGATTTCATAAAATTGCAAACACAATTTCCTAAAATTTTCGAATACGTCTGCCAGTTGTAAAACGTCTGATTTCACGTACAAGTCGTGATATTCCCCCATTGTACGGATGTTGAAGCTGTTCCATACTGCCTGTGCATGTTCGTAATCTGACGCTGAAATCTCCTCGTCCGTTAAACTATTGTGAAAGGCGGCAGGAGGTGGTAACGCCGTCTCTTCAAACATCTCAAAGGACTGGATGTAATCGTAAGGGTAAATGCCCTTTTTCAAGAGAAGAGAAAGATCCCCTTCTCTTACATTTTCCTTTAAAATGTTGAATTTTTCTGCAGGCAGATTTTGTACCAGTTTTTCAAGAGATGTATTCAAAAACTGGAAACTGTCGATGAATTGTAAAGAAACTTTGATCTTATTGTGTTTCTTGCTAAGGGCAAAAGTGATATATTTTTCCATATTCGTAGCGATGACTTCAATTTGATGGTCTTCGATCTTTCCCAGTCCCTGCATTATATGGTGAGCGTCATAATGCTTCAAATTATGGAAGACCACCGGTATCTTTTTCTGCAAGCGATATTTCAGATTGCATAAACTGTGTAATGCTCCTCTGTAATGTCCCGTCAAGTGATCGTGATCGCGAACGCGATCCTTATAAAGAGGCTTCTTACACAGATTGCAAATCGTAGCCGTTAAAAAGTCCTGCTCTTGTTGGGGTGTCATAATTAATGGAACGATGTGAGTTAATGTTTCCGCAAGTTCATCTTTTTCACGGATGATATTTTGCAGAAAATTATCTACGGCATCTGATCCTCGATACACGTGAGCAGGTTTTAAACTTTTGCCATCGGGACCTATTATGATGTAAGCGTACCCGCAAGCTTCATGCTTCATAATGGGTTGTGTGTATGAGGTAGTAGCATGACTCGGTTCCGACGTATGCACTTTTTTGACGATAGCCTCAAAGTCAGCATATATGATATATGGAATTGGATGTTGGAAATGTTGATTTCTAAATGAAAGAAATTTATCTTCCTCTGAAGGCATTTTAATATGCTGCGGTGAGTGTTCTTGCTGCGCATTTTATATGCTGCGGTGAGTGTTCTTTGCAGAACGTTATATGATTTTTTAAATTTCGCTCCTCTGAAAATCTGTGGAGACAGCGATAGCAGTAAAAGGTGCATGCCTTATGACGTGTTAAATCTCCCATTAACCGCGAAAAATTTCTAATGAGGCAATAATGACTGCCTCCTTCATTAGAAATGTAGAGCAAATTAATACAGTCCTCATTTTCTTGAGGGGATACATAGAGGGGGAACACTTCATCATCTTCATATCCGAAGACGTTAATACGGATATTATTCAGTCTTTCAATGACTGGTATTTTCGTGACTGGAACGGGGCACTGGATCTTGCCTAATTTAATATCTGCTTCATAGGGTATGTAATGACTAACTCGTTCAGGGTTATTTTTCCAGTGAATCTTCATTTTATGTGCTAGTAGGCACCATACGAAGCATTTTAAGTCCATGTTCTGGATATTTAAAATGGCTTTCTTATCAGCCAGCTTTTTGGGAAGGGGGATGTAACTACTCGGGGCGAGCGGATGATATTTTGCCACACATAAATCTAATTGATTTATTTTATCGAGAATCCATCCCGATCCCCGCTGAGTAAATGCTTCGAAGGACTTTAGGATTTTTTGAAATCCCTCTTCCACATGACCTTCCACAGTTTCCTCCATTAATTCAATAGCACATTTAGATCGGAAATGGGGGGCAATAGCATCTAATTCCCCATCCCGTGTTGTGCGTGTTAAATGAACTTTTGCCACGACATACCATTTAATAGTGGATTTGTCGGCTAATTCTTCTTGTAATTTTGATGTAATTTGGGGGCGCATCTCTTCAAAACATAACAAAAAGTCGGACGCATTTTCCTCAGAGGGTGTAAACGTATGTACACTAAATACGTTTAAAGCACCTTCTTTCCTCATTTTTTTCACGGGACGATAGAGCGCATCGACCTTCCTTTTAGTGCAGTGAGCCGTGCGCACATGTTGTAGCAATTCACTCTTTTGAGTGAACACTTGGTCGCAAATATTACAAGAGTGTTCTTTAGAAGGCTTGATATGGGTCAAAGCATGACGTTTCAAGTCAGAATTTCTTGCAAATGCTTTCTGACAAACATCGCAAGTAAAACTTTTTTCTCCGGTATGAGTTTTCATATGTCTGGTTAAACTCTCCTTGCGGGTAAAGAATTTAGAACAGATGGTACAGACCTAGGAAAATTAAAGGGGAACCCTATAAGTATACATCTTTTCAAGGTGTATGTTACATATTATATAAATATGCGTCACGCAAAGTGTAATAAAAATTTCTCATCTACCCCAACTATTTCACATAACGCGCTTAAACATAACAGATATAACTAAACATAGTTTCCTCAAGATTTAAATCCTTTCGCATTTAACTCAAAGATACGGAAAAACATGAAGTGAATAATACCCTGAAAGCGAGCAGTTAAGTGAGAATCTTTACAAATACGGAAACGATCGCTGATAATGATCAGGTAGAAACTCTTCACAAAAGGGTCACGTGTGCAAAGCTGGTTAAAGTCACAAAGCAAGATTGCCAATTGTATCGTTACTTAAAAGATAACAAATAGAATTCTTCTACCCCAAAACAAGAATATATTTTCAATAGAAAGTGTGTATCTAAAATATTTAACTAACTACCGATATTTTTTCTTTTCTAACATTTAATGTATACATGGATTTACGTTGCATTTCAAGTACTGAGAAACATAGTTATTTCGGAATTTAAGATTCATTCATGTCTTAAGCGTGTAACGGAGAAGGATTATTGTTAACATACTACATTTTCTGATACCGTACCGCTACCTTTCTTAAAACACAACAACTTTGCAAATTATATGCAATACATAAAACTGAAAATGTAATATAAAAATCACAACTATACACATGTAATTAAATATCAATACCTCTTCAAGAAACATTTATCAGCGTTAACTAAGTTCACGTTATAAGTTTAAACTTTCGAATGAGGTACTAAAACTTCAAAACATACACTGATACTAAAAATTCACACCGTAAATCATGTAAAACATACCTAACAAACTGAAAAACTTAATCTGTAATAATCCATTTTAAAACTTTTCCCTCACATAAAAGGTCCTGAAGGAATGATCCACCCTAAAATATTTTTGCAAAATAAAATATTTTATAAAAAAAAAAAAAAAACTTACATGTTCCGGAACCATACTGATTATCAGATCTCCAGCAACATCATTTTCAAAAGTTGACATTTTCAATTTAGAAAATATTAATCAGGAAGACTTGCTCTTTCCGAGATTGTCGAGCGAACTGACTTCTTCCATTTCTGACACAGCGTTTTATAGGGATTAAAGAATGTTCTCCAACATTCCAGATTTGTGTAATCTGAACCAGGATAACCCTTTCTTTCGAATACGATTTCAACTTCCATTAACCCTTATCATGATAACGTGAAGTCTACAACGCTTATCAAGGATCTTCCTTCACTTCTGTATGTACTGTCAAACTTGGAATAGCAACAACAACCTTAAGATAATACATTCTTTCGCATATGATTATCAGAGTTTTAGAAATTTTCCATTACTCTATCATGATAAGTGGATGATGCTTTTAAGATTACCCTTATGCATATATGTAATGTCAAACTTAAGAATAACAACTCTTTCAAATAAGTTTTCAGTGATTATCAGAGTTTTCCATTAACCTATCTTACCATGATAACGTAATATACATATGACGCCGGACAGACTGTCCTTCCCAAACAAGACAAGACAAGAATGTATTACGATAAGTGTTGATGAATTATATTGGTGAAGATATATTTTTATGTATTAATTTTAAAAATATAAGAGATTCTTTAAGGCAGGAAAAAATTGTTCATTTATTTTGTGATAGGTTTTTTGAATCGAAATGTTATGAAGATTATAAAAATGCATTAATATAAGTACAGCTATTCTATTTAAATTTCTGTGTTTGGTTGATGTTATGACTATTTTTTTTTCCTTATGTTTTTAATAGAAATATATTGAAATTTTAGTTTTAATTTTAAAGCAAACGTGTATATCAAATGTCAGTAAATGGATATTGCTGTTAATTTGATATTAACTAATGAAAGAAAATTCCAAGTATATTTTATGTATAATACAGAAATTTATTCTTTGAAAATAAATGTATTGAAAGGTAAAAGCTTCTTGGTGAAATGAATGTTTTTCATAACATTTAAAAACGATGTAAAACAAATATTGATTGTAGAGAGAAGAAAGAGTCTATATGTAAAAATAATAATTTTATTCATTTAATAAGGTTCCCATTTTCGTGGAGAACGTATATGTTTTACAGATTTAACATGCAATATTTTTTTTTTTTTTCATATTAACATCATGATTCTGTAAATTTTCATTTTTGATATAGTCCATTGGCATGTTGATTTCAGTCAAGGCTTTTAAAAATTCGTTTTTTTAGCAGGAATATTAATCTTTTTCTTTTTGGTTGTAAAAAGGATATTGAATAAGTCTATAATATTTGAATGCTTAATTTTTTCCTTATGATAAAGTACCTCGCCTTTATCATTCCACTTAAGAATATCAGGATGTCGCTTTAAAATAGCTAATGCATTTTGTGCTTTTCTTCTCATTCGTAAAGGTACACTGTCTAAGATAACAGTAGAATAATCAGTTACAGTCATCTGTTTGTCGCCGTCTGTCACAGATGAGGGGGCTTCTTCTTCCTCTTTCACTTTCTTCATCTCAGCTGAATCGTCTAAAGAATTTTGTGAGTCGTCTTTAGGAGGTTTAAAGGGTGAATTGTATTCCTTTAAGTTCAATTTCTTTTGTAAAAGTTCATAATAACGCACTAATTTCTCACGATCGTCAACTGAACTGTTTAAAATATGCATCATGGCTTTATCCAATTCACTTAACTGTTTATCAGAAATGGTATGCTTTGTCATCATCTCTTCTGGAACTAACACACATATTTCTTAGTGAACTCCATTGATTAGTCCTGTAAGAACACTGAGAGCAGCAGGAATCAAAACGTTTAGAAAACCTCCTTTTTGTAAAATTAATTTTCGTTTCTTCACAAGAGAAATCTTACGATTTCCTAATTTTCGTAAAGTTGTTTTATGCTTACAGAGAGACTTCTTTTGTTGCTCTGACAATGGAACGTTTCCTTTGAGTATGTTTAAACTACATTCGCATATAGCTTTTATGCAATTGATATTAATTTTCTTTAATAGCTGTTTCCGTAACTTTAACGGACAAATGTTTAACAGCTGTAACTGTCTTAGCTGTTTCTTGACCAGCGTCATTTTATAAAATGATGATGCATTTTATAAAGCTGTTGTTTTTATTATTTTTTAATAATGTTTCATTTGATAAACATACTGTACTTGGTTAGGTAAAATTTGGGTGCGTAAACGTAATTCTTCCGGAGTTTCACTGCGCAGATCAATGAATAAATAAGAAAAAGGTTTCTTGGTTGCATCTTCATATACTTCTTGAAAAAACTTTAAATGACGCGGAAAGAGCTGTTTTCCTAAATGTACGATTTGACTGACATCTCTTCTGTTTTTACACAAAATCAAATAGTGTGCATTTAAAGTCACTTCACGCATTTCTTTTCCCTTGTGAAAAAAGTTTTGTGTGATAAAAATAACGCTTAAATTTAAATGATGACTTCCTTTTGTAAATAAGTTAGTCAGACGTTTATCATTCCCACATTCGCTCATCAAATCGTCTATGATGAATAATGTGTTGGAACCTAAATATTCTTGATATTTAATTGGTAAACCTTCGACAAAAGTAACATTCGGTATATCATTATACAGAGGTTGGTAAATTCCATAACACCATACTACTTTATCGGGAATCGTTGAAAACATTTCCTCTTTATACTTTAACAGTTCTCGTACAAAATAGGTTTTCCCACATCCAGTGGGTCCCGAAATCACCATTGTGAAAGGATGTTGTAGCTTTGGAAATTCCATATTAAATGAGACAAGACACATAATGTATAAAGTTTAAATGTATTTATTGATAGAAAGAAGATCTTACATGAAATTTCTTGATTACAAAATTATATACTTTAATATCATTAGATATATGTTGAGGTATGAAAGATAACAATATATCATTGAGAGATTGTCCACGACATTTACAATGTAAATAGTATATGCAATATTGACCACATACTGCTGTTACGTTACATTAGTTTGGAGAGTCATCGAATTAAAGTCCATCTGTGGAAATCGTTCTGCATACTTGGCTATCGGTCCAGGAAAATAGGATGGGTCATGTCCATAGGAATCGAAAAATTCTAAATGCTGTGGGGATGAAATGTAAAAGGCTAACCAGTGACTACCGGATTCAGATGCACGATCTACATTAGCTATAAAGCAACTTGGATATTTCTTGATCTCGATAGGGAGTCGATCACTTGCAAAAACTCCCAGAAATGCTTTTCGTGTCTTTGCATTCTGAGAGAGTGCTCTGTTTATTTCAAGGCTGTCCATTGCTTAATTAGCAAAATCGCATAGTACATGACGAGATTTTGTTATTTCAATCACGTTTTGAAATTCTGCATAGACTAGCACCGAGAGAGTCACAGAGAGAGCTTTAGCAAATTTAATTTCTACTCGCAAATTGCCTTGATGCTGTAAGTTAAAATGAGATCCATCACACATATCTGGAGTTAAATCGAAAGCATATAACACATGTCCTTTCACAAATTCTTCTCGAGATAAATAGATGCCTTTGTCGCGATTAAATCCAGAAAATAAACTGTGGTAAGCACGCACATAATGATTAGATTCGAAATCAAGGTCCATTGGTTTACATGGAACGGGTTGTCCATCTACATAAATCGATATAAAGTTGACATGATGATGGGCAAACAGAAAGGGATTCATTGAATATTGTCCATTCATTGCAGCATTTTCTACACAAGTAATAATGACTCGCTTGGGCATCAATCCTAAAAATACATTATCTTGCATAAAAGACCAACTTCCCTTAGATACTGAATATGTTTTGCATAATACTCGATCTATAGGGTATTTAGCAGAACTTTTTTCCAACGCTTTTACATGTCCGAGAGAGACTCCAGGGTTTACTTTTACTTTTCTGATAAACAAAGAAGCATGATCCAAGATCACTTTATAATCGGCATCTTTCTCAGTAGAAACTAGACAGAAAGCAGATTTACTACGCACCATTTTAATTTTCACATCAACTAAATTTAACATGAGTCGATTTTGTTGAAAAATGTCACAATGTAATTGTCCTATCAAATCCACACTTTGACTGTTTTTTATAAGTTCACCGCGAGCTTTTAGTCCAGCATCCGCATCTTGAGCTAAGACATCTATTTTATTAGGTGAAGTGTCTTGGAAAAATCCTTCGCAGGTGAGTAAACTTTTCTTTGCATCTTCCCCATAATTCAATAATGTTTCGATGAAGGCTCTATAGGGATAGGTATTTGTCGCAGATGAAATGTTTCTTTCATTTAAACTTACATCTACTTGCGAAAAGAGAGAATGTAAAAATAAATTTACAGGGGCAACCGGTTCTTTGTCTGTTAGATTGGATCCGTCTGCCTTAACTACTTTAACTTTCACGTGTATATAAGAAGCAGCTAGATCAATATAGTCTTCACCACTGCCAGAAATATTAAATTCGATAGGTCCTCCATCTCGTATATTTGCGAGAGGGTGATATTCCACAAACTGTCCTTTTTCTATAGCTGTTTGCGTAGGAGGAATGGTAAATAAATCTAATTCAGATTTGACGCAAACGGGAGAGTCTCGATGTAATATACGAAGTCATACTTTTTTTTTAAGAGAAAATATCCTGTGCTTTCACCTTCTTTGATCGGTGAGAAATGGTACGCTTTTTCCTACGTTTCTGCTTTTTATTGAACTCGTCCAGAACCAATCATGTTCTTCACTTTAGTAGCAGCTTTATCCGTTAATATATTTCCGGCTTCTTTCAGTCGACGCTTAGCAGCCTCTTTTACATCTTGTCCTTGTGATACATCATTTAACAAATTCAGTCCACTATGCCATACTTGTTTTCCAATTGCTTTGGCTCCTGATTTAATAAGAGGTACGGCAGCGCGAAAGAAGGATCTGAATAGACCCCCTAATCCGTATCCTCTCTGATAAAGATTACCTTGATAATAATTCAATCCATGTCCTGTTTGTTGTACATAATAATCTTCAAAAGATTTTTGACAACACTGATAAGGTACATACATTATGACAAGTATTTTTGACGGAAATGAAGTTTCACGTATGACCTTCCTCGTTCAAATGGCGTAAATGCTCCCATATGCGTTCTTATATCGATTTCCAAAGTGTCTATCATTTTCCGATTCACAGGTAAATAATGAGGTCTATCAAATAGTGCACTCACCACTTCTCCATCGCTACCAGTTACTCTTACAATTCGAAGAAGAGGAGCTAAAACATCTCCTACGATTTGAGGTTCTACAATATCCGTATATATCATTAATACACGATAATGTGCACAGGGGTCGGCTGCAAAAGGACTTTCTACAACAGTTTCGGAACTATCATCTGTAGATGTAATTTCCATAGGTTCAAAACCTAACATTTGTGCTAACCCATCATGTAAAATCACTTTAGCGTTATTTTTCACTTTGATTTTCACTCGTTTTGTTACTGGGTTATAATTAAAAATTATTTTGTTTTGATGTTCTTTAATATAAATAGCTTTTAAAATATCAGGTACTGTTTCATAACATCCTGGAGGTAATCTACGACCTAACATTTCACCATCTTTCTCTAAAACAAATCCAATTAAGTTATTGTCTGCATTCACATTGTGCCATGTGTGCGGATATAGCAATTCAACCAAACCAACTTCCCACATACCTTTTAATTCAATGGGAACAGGTAAACGTGTTATAAAATGTGAAATTTTATTTTCGGGGAAATAATTCATAGAGCTATCGCTCGGAAGTGTTACGTAGAAACTCATTTTCACAAATGATTCGGATACAATATTTTCTCACACTTTATATCGAGAGTAAATTAGAAGCTGGAATCCATTGATTGAATTTGTCGGGATAACCGCGATATTTTACAAAGTATTCTGTCTGTTTCTTACGCATACGTTTCTTTAAAATTTTTTCAATGCGATATTCCTCTTTCAGTCTCACTTTCTGCAACTCTTGTGCATAAAACGTTCCTTTTACTGAGTCTCCAAGTAAATCTTTAATTCTATACACAGGCTGGATGTCTTTTAACACACTCTCTGTCACCACAAATAGTTCTTCCGTCCAATTGGTTTCATAGCCTTTTTCGAAAGTAAGCTTTAGTTTGGAAACACGTACCACATCTCCTACAGCGAATATACATTTAGAAACGTTAGAAGGATGATCTTCATACAAGGTAAACCATACATCACTCTCATTTTCTGAATTGACTTCTATGGGAGCTCGCTTTATACTTGAATGAAAAGTAGCATTATAACTTTCTATTAATTTGTCCAAGACATCTACATATTTATATGTATTTCGAGTCGTAAAGTATTTCCACATTTTTGTTTTCAAAGTGCGATTAAACCTTTCCACCACGGATGCTTTAGTAGTATTGAATGTACTTGAAAAGTTTAACTTGATTTCTTTTTAAAAATTTTATAAACACTTTATTTTTAAATTCGGTGCCCTGATCCGTTTGAAGGAATTTTGGTTTACGTTGACTCATTATTTTTTGAAACGCTTTCACAATATCTTCTCCTCTCTTTTGTTTCAGAGGAATAGCCCATGCATATTTGGATAATATGTCAATACAGGTTAATATATATCGATAACCATCATTATGATCACGTAAATGTGAAACATCCACTAAATCAGCTTGCCATTGTTGATCTATAGAATACACGATTACTCTATTCGTTGGAAATTTTCGGCGAATCGGCTTGTGAAGCGTGTACGCATCTATTCCCTCTAACCATGTTTGAATCTCTTTCCTGGAAACTTTACCTCCTGCAGCACGATGTAAAGCTTCAACACCACCAAAACTTGCAACATGAGCCGGATCCTGATACGATAAATTCATATTCATAACCTATTGAATTATTCTTCATATGGATAATGATAAGTTCCCACTGTCGTTAAGACGTAGCGTAAAATCAATAGGAATTTTATGAAATTCTGTAAAAATATAGATGGATGATAAAATAACACATAAAACAGTGTATAAACACACACCACCGCAACGGTGGCTTCTCCTGGAGCAGGCATAATTGCAATTGATGAGCTGATTCAAATTCCATTTTCTTATATAGGCTTTTTTACCTAAATCTGAATGTATCCCGTCAGCTTAGTGGTTAAAATCTTCAAACTACTGAGCTGGTGAGATATTTTGTTTCAGGTTCAATCCTATATTTTGAATCATAGAACATTTTTTTAAAAAAAAAGAAACTTCTAAAATAAATTATTTTCTTTTTTTCGTCCCTAGAGGACGCCATGACCCCGTTGCCAATTAAAAAAAAACTAACTTTAAATGAAAAGCAGGAGGTCTACAACTCAATCAGCAGTCTACGAACACACCTCAACTCCACTCGAACCACGCCTCCTAGTGTGATGACGTTGCCTTTGGCCCCGCCCTCTGTGTGACGTCATTGGCCACGCCCACACCGCACACCGCGTGTGAACCCCCATTTTCTATCTACTTATATTTTCTGATTAACTAACAAGGACAAATTTTTTTTTCAGTCGATTTTTTCGCAAGGCTCAAGTTTTTTTGGAGCCAGGCCTTATTTGCTACTCTCCTGAATCCGCTACAAGTTTTATCGCCCTAAGTTGTGGATTTTGCTTATTTTTTTATCGAATAAATTTGCAATTCCCTCGTGATCCTTTGGAATGTGATCCAGATTTCAACGCATTTTGAACAAATCCACGCAATTCCTGCTGCTCCTTTTAATGCATTAAAAATCGTTGAACCCTTTACAGCAAGGATTTTGTGGATATTCTGAATATTTCATCATTTTTCATATAATGAATTATTAATTTTCTAGAAAAACTAGTCTTTAATTTGTAGCGTCTTATCATGTTCATACCAGATATGGAATTGTTAATAAACCTTGCTAAATAAGTAGTGATTTCCAAGTGCAGTTTATAATTGTTGTGAAGTATTTTTATTTAAAACAAAAAATATGACAATAAACTTCGTCCTCCAAAACATCTTAACATAAGTTTCGAGTATCCGAATTATTTTGTGAGTTACTTTTTAATATTTTTGGAATAAATAATTTTATTGCAACGAATTTTTTGATGATATTTATTTTGTGACAAACATACAGTAAGACCCCGCTTAACGCGGGGGATACGTTCCATCGAAGTAGAGCGTAATGCGAAACAACGCTAAGCGAGGCTATCTTAACATGTAAATAATGGGGTTAGGGGAAGACGGATAAAAAATGGTTAGGCATTAAATTTAATAATACTTTTTTAAATAAAAATAAAATCAAACATTTATTTCTTACAAAAATAAAAACAATATAAACGCATATACTTTTAAAAACAAATAAAATTCTCAGTCAGATATCATTCAGTCTATTCTGGGTTTCCAATTTTCTGCCTTTTTTGTCAAGAAGGCATTATGATAGATTGGCTTAATGGCATATTGCGTTCAATTTCGTCGTCAATCCATATAGACAGTCGTTTTTTTTCCATTTCCTCTATAATGTTTATTTCTAGAACGGGTAATTCTAGTTGCAGAGCTTGAAGTAGTTGCAGTTGCCGATGACAGTATTTTTTCTTTATTCTTAAGAATTGTCCTTATTGTTGAAGTTGCCAAAATCAATGCAGCGCTAATTTGAGATTGACTTTCACCAGAATCTAATCTTCTAATCACTTGCATTTGAGTTTCCAGTGAAATGCTTTTTCTGGTTGCTTTCTTTTCTTGTTTTTTTATTATCACCCATGATAAAAACTAAAGATCATAATACTTGTCACTGTATTAATCGTTATAGTATTATACAAATTTAAACTTACAATAATGTCAACAAATGTTTCAAATGATAAAAATGCGTCCACCAAGCAAGAAACACAACTACACTGTTTCGGATATGTTATTTGGAAACCTAGCGCTGCGCACAATTTCGGAGAATCCCCGGATTGAAATAAAAGAGCGCTAAACCGAAACAGCGCTAAACGAAACAGCGTTAAGCGGGGTCTTACTGTATCTTTAAATGGAGAAAAAAAATAACGGGTCGAACATTGAAGCGGGAAACTTTAAATGTCCCAAAGTTCATCTTCTACTCAGCAGAGGGAGTGGAGATTTTGGATTATTATTTGATATATAATGCCATTTTTTAAACAACAAACAATGGTCCTGTGTACTGCGTGGTTCCTGTGAGAATTGTTTTATAGGAATGATGACTGTGCGTCTTTAGCCGATATTGAAATGATGAAACCTCAGATGAGTTGCATGCAAAACCATTATATAGTCTCGAAGTTACTATGAGGTGTGCATTTTTATCATCTGGCTTTAAGGAGCTATATTTTTCCAAGACGACAGAGGAAAGGTCGCAAATGTCAGTACAGGAAAGCTCGTTACAACACATTACCAGGACAGTTTTGATGCATCAGCGGCCTAAATTTCGGAAATTAATTTTTTCCACCAAGGATGGGGCCACCACTTATATTGCTCGTGTGTCCATTGGTTTTGCGTTAAAAATAGTCTTCCCGGACGGACCTGTATTGGCGACATCTTGTGACCTGCAAGATCCCAGTTTTGTCAGCATGCGATTTTGAGGATTTATGAAGAGCAAGGATGCACATTGACAGATTGCAAACTATACCAGAATTTAAAACAAATATCAGACAAAAACCTACAGGGAATTGATCTTAACTGCTTCGTCGAATGATGAAAAATTGATCTATGCAAATAAATTTCAAAAATATAAATGTGCGAAAACAAATGCGAGCCACTTTATTTTTAATTTCACACTGCTGAGGAGGACTACTGGCCGGGAATAAGCCCTTGCAGCAGTATGAGCTCAGCCCTGCAGAAGACATAACAGCATTTATTGAGTCTAATTTTTTTTTTAAAAAGTTACAGAGTCACGTCTAGATAACGGATATAAAGGACTATCTTGTCTACATATGACAGTTTTGATTGCGTAGATTAAAAAAAAAAGAAATACTTAGAAGCACAGAGCTGCATGGATGCAAAACTGGTTTGGGTAAAACACAATAAAATTCAAGACTAGCAATGGAAAGAGATAATTTTTTTTTTTTTTTTTTTTTTTTTTGCTTGGCTACATAAAGTGGTTTTTTATATTAAATGGTGTCGTGAGAGGGCATTCAAAAGCAAAGTGATCTGTATCACTTAGTTTTCTACATCTAACAGCTGTCTGAAGTAACTAAGATGAAGAGCCGTAAGTAGCTTGCAAATGGTCCGTGTCCTGTAAAGAAGTGTGTAAGATGAGCACTACTGGTGACCAGATTCAGATCAACTTTAAGAAAGAAACGAAAGGCTGCGCGGCCTGTGGTGGAGCTGTTTCATTTCTGTTGCCAAACGTCTCACATTTTGAGTTTGGTAATGTTTTTTAAATAGGAAACTGGTGCTCTGAGGGGTGTTTCAGGAATATTTGAGTCGTTAGCTGCTAGACTGGCAAGCCTATCAACAACAACAATTTGGGCTTCCTTGCTGCGTAAACGTAATCCCACTACAAGTCCTTCCACACCTCAGAACCAGGCGCGGATATTCAACCACCGCTCTGGCCCCTCAGAGAGAAAGGCACACCGCCCGAGACATCTCCCAGAGGCAGTGATCATTAACTTGCTACCTACTAGTTGCTTGGGCTGCCCGTCGCAGCGGTACATTACCCAGCGTACCCGGGGACGCTACCCCTCCGGAATACTAGTACACGCCGCGCTAGGACGTGCCAGACCACCGGGCCGGCCAATGAGTGCCCTTTCCAAGTCCTTCAGAACAACCAAGTTCATAAATTTTATACCCCCCGTGGCCGAGACTGCCTAGGTACAGATCCTAGCCAGTAGCTTCGCAGAGTTCTCTACGTCGACCCCGGAGAGGTGAGTTGGCAAGCCTATCGGACTCTTCGTTTCCAGAAATGCCTACATGCGTTGTAACGCAGCTCAGATGTGGTTGTTGGGAGCTCAGGGATCTGAAGCAAAGTATCCCTAATAATGTGAACAGAATCCGCTTTGCTATTGAGTTCTTTTATGGCCATTAGTCTCGATGCTGAATCAGTATTCTGACTGGTTCTGCTAGATTTTGCTTAATATAATCTAATGCAGCCTTAATTGCTACAAGTTCGCCTGAAATACGATATTGAATTCTGACAGCCTCTGTGACCAGGTGTAGCTGATAGTATTACCTCGCATGGAGATTACCACAATCAGAAGCCGCAAGATCAAATGGTGATAACACCGCGAGCACCTGCAATGAATCTGTCGAGGTGGTCCTATATGCTTTAATAATCATTAGGAGATCGAGACGCTGAAGAGAGTTAAGCTTCCTCCTCAGGTGTCAAGTCCAATGATATAAATACCCATGCTGAAGACCCGTACAAAATCAATTTCCCCACTATTGTGCGATACCAGATCTTCAACATGTCTGGTCTAATGCCCCAACATGCCAGTAGTTCGTCTCATGGTATTGGTGAGAGATAATACTTTTGGTGTATACTTTGCAAATGTGGTAGCCAGTTGTCTATGATGACCAGTTGTCTGGATATTTCAAGTGGGAAACATTCCTGACTGGATGATCTTATAATCTGATAGTTGCGTTCCGCCTCGGACCATTACGTCCTATGAGTAATATGCTAGTTTTGGAGGCTGAAATTTCCAATTTTTGATCTGCTGCCTATTGTGAAAAGAGTTTCAGAGCAAGCTGTACATTTTCCTGGAGCCCATGTCTTTCAGTGTCCAAAAGCAGAAAGTCGTCGGCAAATCCTTGGACTTAGACAGTCTCATCACCATTCTAATTTTTTATCTGAAAAATGTTTTGTACTTATAATACATTTTTCCTGGTTACATTTTGTAACTGAAATATACTGACAACTTAATATTAATATTATATACTGA